CTAATGAAAAAACAAATGTTTTAAAAGATGTATCAGAAGTTACAGAAGTCACAGAAGTTGTGATTTTTTTTTTTTTTAATTCTACGGCTTGATTTTCCTCATCGCATTTGTTTTACAGTGTGCGTAGAAGTGTGGGCAGGGGCATGGATCTAGAAATTCATGTTGGCAGCCCCACATTTCTGCCACACTTGGAAGGGCCAGCATTAAAAAGCCAGGTATCTGAATTACTCCATTTCTTTAATCCGTCTGGGATGGAAAGCATCCTTGGAACAGTATCAAAATTTTGCTTACCTACAAGCTGCACTAAGGAACTTGCTCACTTTGCTTCCTAGAAAATATATGGGAAGCCCTTATTCTAAGTTATCTTTGTAAGAGGGCTCAATACAATTATTATCTCCTGTTATTCTGACATTATTGACAGTAAAAGTTTGGAAAGTGAGATAGTAGATGATCACAACTATTTTGGAAGCCATGGCAACGGATTTGGTTATAACACAGCATACTTACAGTATATTTACATTTGATTCCTTTATGGGACAGTGAAAGATTCTTTTATTTTTACTGCTTAGTGCTCTGAGATATTGGAGTCACAAACAATGAGCACACATCAAAAGAAGTCAGTTTCATGCAATGTTCATATGAAGTTTTACATTTTATCTTAAACTCCCGCAATAAGAGAATGAGGTCATAGGTTTTGATTTTTTTAAAAATTCTTTACTTCCTATCACAATTCACTCACATTTATAACAAACAGCCTTTCTATTATCAATCCACTTTCCTTTCTCATTCTGAAATGAGGGATTGGTATTTTAGAATCATACATTTACTTTAAATGGCACTGTACTGGCATGCACTTATGAAACAAAATAATAATTATCTGTTAAGGAGGCCCCTTACTCTAAATTCACTAGTTTTATTAAACAGAAAAGTAAACTTTTATCTAGCATGTCATAGTTGTTCATAAGCTAGAAAGCCTTTAGTAATAAATATTTCCTATCAACATTATTAAAGAATGACATTAGCAACAACAAAGTATTCCATTCAAAGCATTCTAATCATTCCAGTATTTGAGCAAGTGAATGTTTTTCAATCATCTAAAATTTTATTCTTCAGGTATTTCATTCTCTATAATAGCATACATTATCCAAAATGTGCACAATTACTTATTAGCAAACCCGAATGCCATTAGGTTAAACAAAATCTCCTGTATAGCAAAAGGGTTAACTAGATTTGTATTAATATAGAAGCCAGGCTTTTAATATTCTGCAAATGTTAACAAAGAAAGATGATAATGTTGAGTTAATATGGGTTAAGCATAAAATGAAAATAAATTTTTCTGATTGCGAGGTGTTGACACTTTTTTGGCTAGGGCCTCCAGCCCGTTCCTGAAAGCTGTGTAATTACAGCAGGCTTTTCCCCTCCTTCCCCCTCCTGCTTCGAGCCTACCCACATTAGTAATGACCCCTTCACTGCTTCAAAAACCACTAATGGTCTTCAGCACGGGCAAGAAAAATGAACAGGATAAATTGGAATCCACAGTCCGTAATTTGCATCCTACGAGGCTGCTTTGGCCACTCGTACACTTTCCCCACCATCAATCGTTGCCTGTCAGGTGCTGCTCTCTGCCGCCGTGACAAATACTCCTCTGAACACTCGGATTCGTCCAAACAATGTAATTGTCCTCTATTCTCCTTTTGGTAATGGAGATAATGAATGATTGCACAAACAAGAAGGATTGCTCATCACAGACACCGAGGTGGCTTCAAACTGAAAAAGGCCTCAAGTACAAATTTTAATTGACTGAAAACACTGGTTGGGAGGGAAATGAAAAAAAATTTTTTTTTCTTTAAATCTTTCTTGTTAAGGTATTTTCTTGCCAAATTCAAGGAAGAAAGTAACACTTTTGAGTTTTCGTGCCTCTAAGATTTTGAGAGCCTGGGTTTATAGGTTGATTGTTCAATAGGAAAAAGTTATCCAAATAGTAAAAATGAAAATGAAAATAAAGATGCAATGAGGGAATGCCTTCCTACACTGGTAATGTCTTCCAGTGCGTGGTTTCTTTATGCAGTGTTTTTTCTCTTTTTTTGTTTTTAGTGTTGTTTACTGTTGCCATGAATTTGCCTAAGATGGTTCTGACAAAATGTGGGTTGTAGAGTGTGTGTGTGTGTGGGAGGAAGACAGACAGACAGACAGATGGGGGAAGGGAAGGCAGGAGAAGAGAGGTGTAGATGAAATAAAGGTTTAGGATTCTAAGAAAGTAGAAGAGAGGAAAGTGGGTGCTGTGAGACAGCCAATTTCTTCAAGTCTGATTGTGAATTCTGATTGAATAACAAGCATTCTTTCCAGTGTCTTATCAGAAATGTAGTCCAATGACCACAGAATTTTACAATAAACAGTATATTTTATCTTGGGAATCCCTGAGCTATACTTTCACTATGAAAACAGTTGCAAATTCCATCCACAATCATTAAAAAAATTGGTACTTTACCAAAATTCACCTTGCACAGATGGCTTTTTTTAATTAATAGGAAAGACCATAATAACTTTAACTTATTTAAATAATGCTCTGTATTTTTTGAACATTCATGATTCCATGCCCCTTTTATACATGGGGTGGACTGTTTATCTGAAAGTGTTCTGGCAGTCGGCCACTATATTTCTAAAATTAAAAGAGGGATGGAAAACAATCAGCTTTCAGAGGAATTGGAACCATGACAATATGTTTTGGATTAATTTACAAATATATGTATATATTTAAGGCCAAACTCTGGAACTAGAGAAATTCGAGTACATGGTCTATCATATGGATTCTCCTACTTTATTAGAACAGACATCATATTGAAATAATAAACACGGGAAGCCTTCACTACGTCTTTGATGTATATTACTAAATGTCTGAGTGGCTCAAATTTAAAATAAACTTTGGTATGTTTGCACTTGAAAACTGGAAGTAGACCACAAGCAAAAATTTGTTGTCAGTTTCCATATTCTTGGACTAAAACTATAGTTTAGTTTGCTCACTGTTGGGGACTAAGCAACTTTGGTCTGGTGGCCAGAGGTGGCTCAGCTTACCCATGAGAGCACACATTGTAATCTAATAGTGACGACGACGATTCCCCTCATCAAGAAAGAATCAGCAAAGTTTTTCACATCTCAAACAATTCCATGGCCACTGGTGAATCGAAGAAGCGAATTACAAAGGTCCTCTTACTTTAGATGTCAACTAACAAATGTTCAAAACATTAATAAGGCACGTATGGCTCATGGTTCAATGTAAATAGAAAATATTTTTCATTGCTTCTCTTCTAAAAACTCACTGGCAAGTGAGATAGTATCTTTATTCATCATACTGATCTCCGGCCTGCTTCCACTAATTTTATTGGTGGGTGTTATGGTTAACCTGATTTATCAAGAACAGTGTCCTTACAACACATTGTGGGGCACTTTGGGACTGAATCATCTAATAATAATCTCTTGTGAATAACCCCTCTCTAGTGAGGTCCATACTAGAATTGATTTATCTTGAATTTTACTTTATGTTGAAAGGATTTTTATGCTAGTGTTTTGAAGTTTTAAGTGATACTTCAAATAACCGTGAATGAGAAGTGCAAAATGAATAAAAAAGGTAGTTTTTTTAAGAACTACAATACTGGAAACAACCTAAATGCCCGTTAATTAGATTGTATTTAAATAAAATGTGAGGTTCTCATGAAAAGGTTGACCCTATATATTGTTAAGTGAAATAGGCAAGTTGAACGATATGCGTTATTCATTTTTGGCTAAATAAGTAAAAATAAGTAAAACTAAATACACATAATTATGCTTGTAAAGTAAGAAAAGCATCTGGAAAGGTGCATGCTAACTAAGGATATATATGGTGTAGAGTCTCAAGATGGAGACTTTTTTTTGCATATTCCTGTATTGTCTCTGTGTGTACAACTTTGAACAATTTTTAAATCCAGTACCAATTTCAAAATTATAATTAATTTATGGCAATTATAATCAATGTATATACTCTACATTAAAAAGCATAATAATTTAACTTTTTAATATGATCAGACATTGTCTTGCAATACAGTAACTCTTTTGCTGGCTTTTATTTTTTCCAGTATGGGGGATTGAACCCAGGAAGCACTGAGCTAAACTCCGGGACCTTCTTTAAATTTTATCTTGATAATGTCTGTTAGGCTACAACAGAACCTGCCATCTCCTCTTCTCTCAGTCTTCCTCATAGCCAAGATTACAAACATGCATCACCATGCCTGGTGCCTTGGATATTTTGTAAAGGAAGACATCTGCAGGATGAGTCTTGTTTCTTAAATTACCTTTTAATTACTCTCCAAGATACATGTTTTACAGAGTTAACTCATGTGACTGTGATCTTAATGATGCCACTTGAATATAAAACCCTAATGTGGACAATGAAACTGCACTAGGCAGATATTTACTGATGGAAATGTGGTCAGTGAAAGGGGAATGGACAGATATTTACTGATCAAGGACCATGTTTACTGAGTCAGGCAGCAAGCATATACCAAGAATTTTACCCCTGAATAAATAAATGCATCTTCCTGCAATACCGAATCAATGGTCATTAATTTAGCAACTTTTTCTTGTGAAAAAGTATTCCTATGCTGTGAGAATTTTAAAGCTAAAAAGCAAAAAAACAAGGATATTTAAAAACCATCCAGTCTTTGTTAGAGATCATCTTTCCACCAAGTTCCAATAGCAATTTGCTTAATGTTTATATTTTTTAATTTTTTCATTGTTGTGTCATATCTACATTTCTATGAAATATAACTTCCCAAAGACATAGCCTTTTTAGGGGGTGAAGGGAGGGCAGAGGTAAGGGGAAAAAATGAGAATCAAGACTTGTCATGTAGAGGTACAAGATCCCAACAATGAATGTAACTGTACTGTATCCCTAAAATGTACCAATAAACTCAATTAAAGCTGGAAAAAAAAAAGATATAGCCTTTTTAAACTTTTGTATGTCTCCC